TTCTTCTGTTCATGCAATTCTTCATATTTGTGCTTATAGACCGATGTGGTTGATGGGATATCYACTGTCAAGTTTGTATTCTTGCAGTGGGTKGGTGTCAATGTCAAACCAATGGCAAAGGGAAAGATAAGYACACATAGATCAGCTATTGACAAAGTGTTTAGTGTATCCTTGAAAATATTGGAATTTTGTTGAAAGCATTCTTTTTTTGAGATCAGTCACATGACCTTTTCATGGCATCRCGTCCTGAAATACGGCATTGATGTAAAGCTATCTTAGATATCCCATATTGCATGAYRCRCCACTAAATTCATGTTTTATCTATCACCCAGTACTTTGCAAAGATTTCTTACCTTGTCACGCTAGTTGTCACACARGTATGACCTTGACTTTTTTCTAAGCCTGCTCATGTCGTCATCTACGTCACAAGTCAAAGTGAAATCTYATTGGATGATATCAAAGATAAGGTAGCCAGTGCTAGCGGYTCAAARTCTCACGTGAGAAATAAAGAAACGCTTCGCTGATTGGTTGTTACTGACCTATAAGAACGCGACACGATAGATGGTTTATAGGCAGTCCTGCTGACCAAAACGATCGCAGTGATCGATGAATGATGGACTGAACGTCAAAAAAGAATTAAAATGAGAATTGAATAATAGCATAATATAAATGAAGTTTTTAAATTAAAATAATTTTATATGATCTGTATACTCAGCTTGAGTGACGTAAATCTGGTTCGGCATAAATCCAAATTACTTCGGAATTTTGTCGAAAGTCTCGAACATTCTTGTCGTAAAGTCCTGGGAGAGTAACATAATTTAAAGGTCTTTAGACCGACAATGAATAAAGAATGAAACGATCAAAGAAAAGGAAATTAGCATTCTTTCACATTATGTCTCGAACTCGGCTTACTTCTCGTGCTACTYCGTATGTTRTCCGTCCTAACGTTATGTCATACGTAACWGCTTGGACGTTCTTRCAAATGACTWTAATTTGATAAAGYGAAACATTTACCACGTGTAGTCTTATAAACAAACTTGAACGATCTGAAACTTAAATACACAAATGCTATTTTTAAATGAWATTATGCAGAAAATGTTCCCATCTCAGATTTAAATTTATTGGGCATTTATTTCTGGCAAGCGATCTTGACACARWTAGGGWTRCCAGTAGTGTACCTAAAACATGATCTACTCATGATAATTTCCCATAATATCCCACATGGCACTTGTACATGGTTATTCTTTCATAGCTTTTTATTGATAACTCATTTTCGCATGGCGAGTGTGTATTACAATTGGACGGCAATAAAATTATCATTATGATAATAGATTATTATAAATGTATTACATTTTATAGTTGAGAGGGTTAACACTTTGTTATAATAGTAGTCTAATTGTTAATTGATAATATTCGATAAATATTGATAAATAAGAAGATATATACCAGTTGCTCGCCGCTATCTAGGGTCCATAGCACACATTAGTCTTCCTACAACTGCACCTAACAGTTCGCCAGACTTTTTTTCCATTGAACAACGTAGCCACTTTATATTTTGACGGACGACAGTTTGTTTGTCCATTACATTCGTGAGACGATTTGCCTTTGCAGGCAAGTTCCTTAAGTCCCTTACAATTATATGTATGTCCGCAATAAATGTCCTTAGGTTGACTGCAGTTATTTTGATTTTTCAAGTATTCAATTAAAAATATAGGATTTGAACTTCGTTTTGATCTGCTGAAGACTTGGTGCTGTATGGTGCCCAGTCCATTCTCACTAAATGTCGTCGTTGATTGGTTACCAGTCTGTAACGGTTGGCTAACGACACCAACTAGTAATATCAATAGCACATGTACACGGACGATTTCCATGGTAACCTGAATTTAAAGAGAGATGCATGATGTAGCAAATTACGAGATTTGAAATGAAACATGAAATGAAACGAATTTGAGTCCGTTTATTTCGGCCTTTATATCATCCAATTTATCGTTTTCAACCATCCCCATGAGAATTAAAAGATAAAAGACCGGTGGCCGCTGTGACGTAACTTGTTGAAAACGAAGAATTAAATGATGAAAATAAAAGTCATTTTACTCCGTATATATATACTTTGAAACCTAAGATCAATACTAATTTGCTTCGAAAATCTGTGAAAAGCAACTTTTTAAAGAAGGGTATATTTTAGTRCYCAAACTATCTTGTAATCTTATGAAGCATTCAAGGCGGTCCCACGCTACAGGTGTATAATGCCGTTATATGYACGTACCTTTGAATTGTTGAAGTCCACACCTTTCTTGAAGTCCAAGGAGAATTGGTTTACAAGCCATCTGTGCTGGTTTAAATAGACTTGAATTGACGTGGGGGCGATTYCTCAGTCAGAGCAAGAATTGTATTAAAAAAAGGAAACGCTTGTACCATCTCTTGTGTCATATCTACCACCGAGTTGAATCTTGACTAACACAGCACTAGAACAAAGGCTTAAAGAGGCATTTGAAATCAAGGAAATAGTACATAAGAATTAGAAAATATTTTGGTATTACCCAAAGATATCTTAGTAATATTACCATGGGTTGAATGTTCATATTCGGACGCCCAGCCCTTTAGKTTGGGATCAGGTCTTACTTCCTTTGCTTTGCTTATCACGATTGCTATATCCATAATAGGTCACGCAAACCATCATTTGGCTACATACAATTCTGACGTACAGAAAATCCTTTTATTGTGAATATTTTTTTGTAAATCGTTCCCCGGATGGTACGTGCGTTGCCAAACGGTTAGATTTCATTTATATTAGACGCATTTTTATAAGCCAATAAAAAAATATATTCAAAATATGAACTGATTTATGATTGGGTGAGGACTATCAATGAATTTTTTGTGCATTCAAAAATATTTCATGGTACACCATGAATAAAAAAAAATGAGTAATATTGATTAGTGCGTGATGAGAAGCCAGCAATTCAACCTAATAACGATACAAACAAAACGACGAATCGACAGAATTTGCTGTTGCTTTTACATCAATTCAGTCATGATGCATAATTATATCATGTTCAGCCACAGATTTTTGGAAAAAGAAATTAAATCTATAGTTGACCACGGTATACTAAAATGGTTCATCTTATTTATTACATAAAAATTTCCCAACCATTTTAATTTTGTTTAAATATAATTGTTATTTTAAGAAGTAGTAGTACAAGTGTATTTTTAGATATAATTATATTCATGTTGAGCGTGTATTTATGAAATATCATAGTGCTAAAATCAACGATGATGTAATTTATCTATATTGGTTTGATATGAAAAACACTAGAATTTCTTCTTCATTTGCACCAACAATCTTAATTTTCCTATTATAAATAACAAGAATGTATCTTGATCAATGGTTTCAGGGATTGATGCTTTCTTACTGAGGTGGCTAATTTTGGTTACATATGTACATCATCGAATGTACATCATTTTGCTCAAATAACTCGAAATTTTAGGTTAAGATTTCATTGAAACTTCGTCAGTATATCAATTATGTTATTAAAAAAAGATTCTGAAAATTTTATTACAATCTCTGCGATGAGTTTCGAGAAAATTAACTTTGAAGAAAAATGAAGTTGTTTTTATTTTGCACCGTTTATCCAAATACCTTCGCTTTTTGGCAAATTAATTTATCTACAAGAATTATCGATAATCACTGTTACTTCTGTGAAAATTTGAGTGCAATTGAATCGAAATTTGCGACGTAATTGGAGTTTAAAAATACGCGCGAAACGCTATTTATTACGATCTAAACACCTTAATTAGACGCGTGTAATGTGATTGTGCAATAATAATCAAAACTATTTTCCTATTTCCATGCAATCTTTTTAGTCTACAAGAGGAGTTTTGCAATGCATTCTTTAAATTTTTCGTCCAAAATGTCACGGGCATCTTGTCTTCCAATATCTTGCAAACTTTTGTCGAGCTGAGCAACTGTAAACTCCGGTTTCTTAATCATAAGCCATTCCAACAAGATCTCTGTTGCGCTGGCATTCGTGTCAGCGATGAACCAATAATACCTTAAATTAGATAGGAAAAATTACTGAGGCTGCGCTAAACCACCTTTTCATGTGTGCTTTGGCAGATCATTATTATTAACAATGCAAATCAAGAAGAATCCATCTTACCTCGCACAATCTAAATTCCACTTTTCTGCCAAATGCTGCCAACCTTTGGTGCCTTTGTTAAGAAGTTTACAAAGTTCCTCCATGTTGTCCGTGTTTGGTGCGAAAACTTTCTTCATTGATTGGGAATGGTCATCTTAACATGATAATGACATCAAATAAGACAGCAATAGCATTGAATAAGCCTGCTACGTGCAGCCGAACCAAAACTGCTTTGGCCCGCCAGCATATGGCAGGCTATACTGATTGAATTGCTAAATGGAAACAATCGTGAAGAGCTCGGGGCTCTTATTGCTTCGCCTTCCTTTGTATAATGGATTTATTTTAAAATCCAGACAAAATGGTACATTATTTTGTTAGTTGGATCGTATTGTTTATACTCACTCGCTTTGATGTTCTCCAAAAGGTCTTCTATTTCCTTTTCTCTTCCAAGTGCTGACATGTGGGTGACTAGGGTACTTAACTTTAGATCTTCCCTTGGTACTGCTTTGTATGCATACTCAATCAAGAAGCGCTCAGCCGAGTTTATTCCCTTTTCTAAAATATCTAACTGCGTGGAATCGATTTTGTACTCTCTGCCAAGACGCTTCCAGTTKAAAGTACCAGGCTGATCAAGCATGCTTGTAAGACGYTCWAAGACTTYRTGATATTTCAGCAGCAGAATTTCAACTTGTGCAGTCTCTTTAAGATAACGAAAAACAGAATGCAACATCACTAACTTCAGACCAGAATCTTTAAGGGTGGCTAATTGGCACTTAAGTTTAACATGGACATTTATTAGAGTAAAATTGTGAATCAAGATACCACTACTGAGATAATGATAAATTTGCTCATTTTGCGTCAACTAGCAGCGGCATTTTSAAATCTGTGAAGATAAACTATAATCATCATTCCGTGTTCTGAAAGATTAACTGATCAATTCACCTGGAATTTTTGCTGCATTTATTATATCAATTACATCTTTCCTTTCAATGTTTCCCAGTTTGGCAACAAAATCCTTCATTTTACTTGTTGAAACTTCAGGCAAATTAATGAGGTCCGATGAAGGGCTGTGGTTGTAGTTTGATCTGCATTTTGATTTAATGATTTCGGGAGCTTCAAGGATATCTGCCAATGATGTAACATCCTTCATGGTCATATCCTTCTTATCAAGTCTCAACGCCAACTCTTGAACWACAGAACAATCCCCGTCGTACATATGACTAAAATACACTGATAAAAAGATAAAATAAAAATTGAAAGTTATTTTGATCAGATGTTGGATTTGAAT